AGGCCCAGCTTCTCTGGAGGCTGAGGCAGGCGAATTGCTTGAATCTAGAAGGTGGAGGTTGCAGTGAGTCAAGATCGTGCCACTGCACTCCAGCCAGCGTACAAATAGCAGCTTTAGACTTGATCCCGCCAGGCGTGACCACTGGGCACGTTCAGCAGTGGATCTCTCAATTCTGCCTCAGTTTCCAGTGTCTTCTCAGAGAGGCCTAGAGTGGAGTGTCTGAAGCCAGGGCTGGAGGTCTTGCTGCATACTCTGTCCACTTCCACCTGTGCCGTCAGCCCGGGTGGGAAGAAGACCCATGTAGGAGGAGAGCCGCCTTCCTCCTAAAGCCCCACCTGCCTGACGGCTGAGACTTCTGCCTTATTTCCAGAACTCTCAGGGGCCCTTGAACGTCTCGTTATTTGCTAAATGTGCAAGCACAGATTGCCTGTACCTCCCCTCGGACCTTTCTGCTGCTCCCTATAGAGCTGTCTGAAGCCTGGAAATGTTTATTTGCCTTTGGAGAAATTCTAGTTCCATCTGCTCCAGACAGTAACAGCTGGTGCTCTGTAACTTTCTGGAGCCTGTTCCAGCAGACAGGAGGTCCCTTCTTCAAGTCCTCTTTATAACCTCATACAAGATGAGGAAAGTGAGGCAGGTGAGCTCATGAATACAAAGTGCCAGAGCTTGGGTTCAACTTGTCTCAAAGTTTGTGGGATTTAAGGTTGGTGTGGGAAGCGTTCTGTTTGGCACCCCCTGTCCTGGTGTGTGTGGGTTGGGTCCTGGGTTGCCTGGAGAGCCGGTTTACCCCTGCTGACCTGACGTATTTGTGACTAGTGTTCTCTCTTTTTTTTTTTTTGAGACGGAGTTTCGCTCTTGTTACCCAGGCTGGAGTGCAATGGCGCGATCTCGGCTCACCGCAACCTCCGCCTCCTGGGTTCAGGCAATTCTCCTGCCTCAGCCTCCTGAGTAGCTGGGATTACAGGCACGTGCCACCATGCCCAGTTAATTTTTTGTATTTTTAGTAGAGACGGGGTTTCACCATGTTGACCAGGATGGTCTCGATCTCTCGACCTCGTGATCCACCCGCCTCGGCCTCCCAAAGTGCTGGGATTACAAGCTTGAGCCACCGCGCCCGGCCAACTAGTGTTCTCTTTAACTGCAAAGTGTTGTGGTTTGGGAGAGAAATTCTGCGCTCACCCTGTTCACGTGCACCCTGAGGAAGCTCTGATACCACTGCGCAGCCTCTGATGCACACTGGCGCCGGATGTGCCTGTCAGCAGGAAAAGGTACGAGTGTCTACATCCACATGTAGACATATCTGTACACACACATTAATATACACATCCATATATATACACATCTTATACACATCTGCACACACGTCTACATTAGACACATGTACACACACATCGCTGTACACATTCTTATCCACACATTCGTACATACATATCTGTGTATTTCCATATTTCTGCAATACATACACATCTACACACACCCATGTACAGAAACATCTGTACACAGATGCACACAAATTCATACACACACATCTGCATACACGTCGGTGGGGATCAGGGGAGCACAGCATTAAGCAGTGACAGTCTGGTAATAGCGAGTATTGTTTTGACATCTTTTGGGTGAACTGACCAGCTAGTGGCTATCGGAGGGGTGTCCACAGGTTGGTGGAGCCATCAAAGATGGTATTTGTAGTTGCTCATGGCTTTTCTAGAGGATCTCCCATGTGGGGCCTTGGAGTGAAGTGAGCTGTCCCCATGGCCCACCTGCCAGTGTCTGCACCAGTGACCGACAAAGTTCTGGCTTCACTGGCCTTCTCAAGGACTTTGGATTGTACTGTAAGAAACGCTAGTGTGTCATCATTCGACGTATCTGGTCACCACATGGAGATCAGTTGCCAGCGGCAGGTTGGGAGCTGGGAGAGCCGGGAGGATGTTTCAGTCAGACAGGCTCGATGACCAGGGCTGGAGCTGGTGGGCAGCGGAGATGGCAGATGGGGTTGACTCTAGTCACGTTCCATAGTGATGGTCGACAGAGTTCCTGATAGATCCAACGAGGGGGTTGTCAATGAGAGAAGAGGAGTCCTTTGTGTTTATGTCTGAGTTTATAACACAGGTTTCTAATTTTGAGAAATCCGGAGTTTAAAAAATTGGGCAAGGGCTGGGCATAGTGGTTCCCACCTGTAATCTCAGCATTTTGGGAGGCCAAGGCAGGGGCGAATCACTTGGGCTCAGGAGTTTGAAACCAGCCTCGCCAACATGGCAAAACCCCGTCTCTACTAAAAATACAAAAATTAGCTGCGCACTGTGGTGTGTGCCAGTCATCCCAGCTACTTGGGAGGCTGAGGCAGAAGAATCTCTTGAACCTGGGAGGCGAAGGTTGCAGTGAACCAGGATCCCACCACTGCACTCCAGCCTGGGTGACAGAGTGAGACTCTGTCTCAAGAAAAATCAAAAATTGGGGAAGGATTGGCATAAAAAGCCAACATATGGGCTGTCTCCTGCCCTCTTTCCAGTCCCAGCTTGTGTGATCATGGCTGGGCTTGTTGGCCACGCCTGTCGTTCCAGGTGACACCAATGTCTTTTCAGAGCTACAGTGACCTGCGGCCACCCATGGTTGGCAAGGCAAGTGGTTCCAGGCGCAGCTGGAAATGAAACTGGTGATGGGGACAGCCCTGTCATCTTTACAGGGAACCTCACGTGGCAGGCAGGCAGCAAGCTGGCCTCTCCGCATCGCTGAGCCATCTGCTGAGTGACCAGGCCCACGTGACAGGTAGGAGACCCCTTGTGCCCCGTCTCCTCCATGGCCAGGCTAGAGTGTGGGCCAAATGCCTCCTGATGGTCCTCTTCACCCCAGCCTCTCAACATTTAACATCCCATCTAAGGACAGACGCAGGCTCAGTGTGAGCCCTCAGAACCTCCCCCAACCTCCAACCACCCCCACAAACCCTAAAATAGCAGATTTTGAGCTGTTTTTATTCTCACCCATGATAAGAAACACATGTAACATTCTGACCTAAAATACACGGGGCATTTAAAACACACACACACACACAGGCTGGGCAGGTGCTGGTCCCGTGCCAGAGATGAGGGGTGCGGGTGGCACTTGGGTGTGACGTTTATGGGTTCTGAAAGATTCCAAGGTAAGGACAGGAGCTGGGGGCACTTGGAGCAGTGGCTGTTGACCACCTCTTGTGGGTGTCTGGAGTCAACAGCTGGCCCACTTCCACCTGTGTGTTCTGGATGACCTTCGGTGTTACAGAAGTGAAGCTTCAGAAGGTGAAATTTACCCAACAACCCATGATGTGTGATTAATTCTTTTGTCATCTGTCCTATTTGATTTTGTTTCATTCTATTTTATTTTAAGACAGAGTCTCAAACTGTTGCTGGGACTGGATGCAATGGTGCGATCTCGGCTCACTGCAGCCTCTGCCTCCTGGTTCAAGCGATTCTCCTGCCTCAGCCTCCCGAGTAGCTGGGATTACAGGTGCCCGCCACCACATTTGGTTAATTTTTTTTCTTTCTTTTTTTTTTTTTTTTTGTATTTCTAGTAAAGACAGGGTTTCACTATGTTGGCCAGGCTGGTCTCGAACTCCTGACCTCAGGAAATCGGCTTGCCTTGGCCTCCCAAAGTGCTGGGATTACAGGTATGAGACACTGTGCTCGGCCTCATTGTACTTTATTCTTGGGCCAAGCACAGTGTCCCACGCCTATAATACCAGCACTTTGGGAAGCCAAGGCAGGAGGATTGCTTGAGCCCAGGAGTTCAAGACCAGCCTGGGCAACATAGTGAGACCCCTGTTTTTAGAAAAAATATGTGTGTGTGTGTGTGTGTGTGTGTGTGTGTGTGTGTGTGTGTGTACACACACACGCCAATGTGGTGGCACATGTCTGTAGTACCAGTTACTTGGGAGGCTGAGGTGGGAGGACCGATTGAGCCTGGGAGATTAGGCCTGTCTGTAGCCTGTTGTGCAGGGCACAGGTGTTGACTCTTCAAGGAGCCCCCAACCCCAAGGCCCTGGGGTATTCCCAAGTCCCCTCTCTGCCTGGGGCTGGGGGTGTTGGTCCCTGGGGGCTGACCCTTTCACCTGCCTGCTCTCTGTCCCTGCAGCACCGCTGGAAAGGAAGGAGGAGGATGGATAGTGGGTGGCCGCCCTGGGTGCTGAACTCTTCGTGCCAGGGCTAGAGAGACTGTGTGCCCTTGGCCTGCTGCAGCAGCGGGGTCAGCTCTGGACCAAATCCCTGAGGATCCAGTGCAGCCTCCTGGGTAAGGCACCACACACCTGGCTTCATGGCAGGTGGAGGTGGCAGGGTCTGCCTTGTTTCCTGTGACTGTGGCTCTGCGAGCTAAGATACGCTGTCACCACAGGATTTTCCATTAGTCATTCTGTGGGCTCTGAGTAGGACTTAGTACCTGCTCATTAAAAGAAAAGGTGTGTCTGTTGAGGGGACATTCATCCATCTCTTAAGACCTCCCCATGAACAAGTTCTAATGGAGTGACAGGTGAAGCAGAGCACAGGGCTGCAGGGACACGGCTGAGGCCGGGCCGGGCTGGGCTGGGCTGGGCTGGGCTGGGCCGGGCCTTCCTCCTCTTGGAGCCCTGGTGGAGGGCTGCCTGGCAGAGGAGGGCAGGAGTCCCTTGATCAATCCTCACAGCTCAGGCAAAGCAGCCAGCGCACCAGTGCAGCACCAGCCAGAGGTTGCAGACAGAGAGCGGCTCAGACGGTGCTTACAGGCTGGAGCTGGGCCATGAGCTCCACTGCACACACAACCCGGCCTTCAGCCACAAGGTGGGATGTCAAGAGACAGCACCAGAGTTGGCAAGTGGTGATCTGAGTACCCTGAGCTCATCCCCAAAGAGATGAACTTGCTCCCAATAGCATAGCCGTATAGGAATGGATCCAGGGCTGGCACTTCAGCCTCAGTCTTATGTCTATTCATCCAGGGTTGCTTGAGGCCAGGAGGCAGAGGTTGCAATGAGCCAAGATGGTGCCACTGTACTCCAGCCTGGGCAAGAGAGTGAGATCTTCTCTCTAAAATAAACAAATAATAATTAAAAAAAAAAAACAAGGCCAGGTGCAGTGGGTCCTGCTTGTAATTCCAGCACTTTGGGAGGCTGAGGCGGGCAGATCACAAGGTCGGGAGTTCAAGACCGACCTGGCCAACATGGTGAAACCCCATCTGTATTTTGCATTTTTAGTAAATACAAAAATGAGCCAGGCGTAGTGGCAGGTGCCTGTAATCCGAGCTTCTCCGGAGGCTGAGGCAGGAGAATTGCTTGAACTGGAGGCGAGCTATGGGAAGCACTGGGATGAGAGCAGCAAGAGGCATCTCCGTGTCAGCCAGACCTTCAAGAATGACTTGGGGCCCACTCTGAGCAATCACTTCATGGAGGTAAGCCCGGCCACTGCAGCAGAGCCGTGCCCTGTGAGTCCAGAGTGGACGGCGGGAGCTAGGGAGCCCCTCATGGCCCTCTGGCTGCAAGGATGCAGGCAGCTGGAACTCAGCCTTGGTGACTTTCCTTTTTGCATCTCCAGCCCCACATCCCCAGGGGTGAGAAACGCTTGTCACAGTGCCAAGGGCTGGAAGGAGGGCTTGGGAAACATAAGATTTCCAACCGTAAAAATGCATTTTGTAAACAGCAGTTCGCTTTTAGTTTTTCCCAGAGTGGGGTTTCTTTTGCTGAGTTAGGAATGGCGTGCTCAGCAGCTGAACAGGTGGTGGTTCTTCTACAGCGCGCATTTAACCTTGTACATTTTTTTTTTCCTTTTCACATCCAGTCCTGCAAATGGTGGTGGCTTACTCTTTTTGAGATGGAGTCTACATCTGTGACCAGGCTGGAGTGCAGTGGCACGATCTTGGCTCACTGCAACCTCTGTCTCCCATATTCAAGCAATTCTCCTGCCTCAGCCTCCCAAGTAGCTGGGACTACAGGCATGCACCACAATCTCTGGCTCATTTTTGTATTTTTACTAGAGATGGGGTTTCACCATTTTAGCCAGGATGGTCTTGATCTCATGACCTTGTGATCCACCGGCCTCAGCCTCCCAAAGTGCTGGGATTATAAGTGTGAGCCACCGCACCTGGCCCAACCTTTTTTTCGTGGGCTGCTGTCTCATTCTTAGAAGGTCTGCAACCTAAAATCCCTTATGTCTGCTGCCTCGGTTTTTTTTTTTCAGTCTTCTGCCTGCTTTCCTTTGAGTGTACCACCGTGTTTCTGTGAAGCTCACTGCCACAGGGTCTCTTTCTGGTTCCACAATGAGCTCTCTGTGGCTGTGTGGTCATTAAATGTTCACAGTGGCTGCCCCGACTGCCCTCCTGGCAGGACGAGGAACTTGTGGCCTCTCCACCACCCGGGGCTAAGACCCTGCCCAGCACCAGGGTGGGCGTCCCTCTGACTGGCTGTTGAATGTCACCTCCCCATTCTCTCTGCTGTGCCAGATCCCATGGCCACCCACAGGGCAGTGAATTTGAAAGAGTGCTCCAGGGCTCGGTACCCTGTGCTGTGATTGACTACAGTGAGAGGAGGCAGGAGTGTCGGGGCAGGGAAGGGGGCTGGTGCAGAATCCAGGGGGAACCAGGGCCAGCACACAGTGTCCTCTCCCAGTCCCTGCGCCTTCACACAGGATGCACTTGGCTGTCCCAGCACTATGTCACCCAGGGTGTTTAGTGGGGTTGCCACATGGGCAGGTGCTGCTTGGCTTAGAGCACACTGGCAGACTGCTAGGAGGCAAGCAGGGGTCTGGCATAAACCACGTTTGTGCAAACAGTTCAGGTGCAGAGAGCCTCGTATCACTTCTAGAAATAGTGGGAACCCTCCCCCAATCCAAGTTCCCAGACAACCTATGAGCAGGCCATGCAGAGGCAGCTCGGGTCTGCTGTGACAACTCACCCGCAATCTCCAGTGCCTGCTGCTCTATTCCTTTTCCTCCACTCCCCCACCATCTTAATCCCAGGAACAAGCCCTGTCTCCTCAAGGCCTGGGCTGGGCCTCTGAGCTGCCCAGAGGGCTCATGTTGGGTGGTGGCTGCCCACTGAAAGGCCCCTGGCCACAATGAAGAACGCCTACCTGGAGGAGGTGTGGCAGGAGCAGGCAGAGGAGGCCATGTGGTGGCTGCAGGCCTGGGTGCCCAGGATGCCAGGCAACCGGGGTCCCAGCCACATCAATATGGCCCTGGGGGCCGTGAAAGGCACCCTGGAGCTGGTGAGTGAGAACAATGATGGGGCGGGGCTGGTAGTTGAGGATGACCGAGACCATTCTCACTGTCCCCTCCCTCTCCAGGTGGCCCACCAGATGCTGTCCTGGGCTGAGGCCACGTTCTCATGGGCACTGAAGAGGCTCTGCAAACCCCTGCTGGAACTGTATGGCCTCGCAGCCAGGTAACACAGGGTTGGGGTGGCACATCCGGTGTTCCTGCCACATATCAGGTGCAATGCAGAATTTGACACGTTCTGACTCACTACTGACTGCCCTGCACAGAGTCTTCTTCACTCCCCATTTCACAGAAGAGGAAGCTGGGGTTTCTTCCTCACACCATGGAGACCTCGTGAGCATGGTCCCAAGTCCAGGGAGCATTTTAGGAGCTGTGCAGAGGAGCACAGTGGGCAAGGCTGACCCTTGCCTTCAGGAAGCTCGGTTTTACTCAGAGACAGACATGAAGCCCAAGAAATCATCTACAGCAAGGTGTGTACCGCTCCCTGCAGGGAGCCTGAGTCACCTCTTAAGCAGGCCATTCTGCTATGTCACATTTCCTTGCTTTTGTTTTGTAATCATCTTCTTTTTGAGATGGAGTCTTGCTCTGTTGCAGTGGTATGATCTCAGCTCACTGCAACCTCTGCTGCCTCTGTTCAAGTGATTCTCCTGCCTCAGCCTTCCAAGTTGCTGGGACTACAGGTGTGTGCACTACTGCACCTGGCTCATTTTTTGTGTTTTTAGTAGAGACAGGGTTTTGCCACTCCAGGCTGGTCTCAAACTCCTTTCGGTGATGCAATCCCCTCAGCCTTCCAAAGTGTTGGCATTACAGGCATGAGCCACCACTCCTGGCCTGTTTTGTAATCTTTTAAACACTCAAAAGCCCTTCTTTCTTGCAGGCTGCGTGTGGCACACTGCTCATCATTTACCACCACTGAGCCAAACATTAGGTGGCAAATGCTAGAGAAGTCACATTGGTGAGATGGTGAGCGGGGGATCCTATGGTGTGGCCATGGCCAGCTTTGAGAAGGTACAGTTAGAGCAAGAGCCATGGGGCCAGTGTGCGAACAGAGCTCCAGGTGGGGGCACCACTGCACAGAGGCCTGGGAAAGGGATGTGCCTGGCCTGTTTGTTTTTGAGATGGAGTCACGTTCTTTGTCACCCAGGGTGGAGTGCTGTGGTGTGATCTCAGCTCACTGCAACCTCTGCCTCTCAAATTCAAGTGATTCTCCTGCCTCAGCCTCCCAAGTAGCTGGGATTACAGGCATTCACCACCATACCCGGCTAATTTTTGTACGTTTAGTAGAGACGGGGTTTTACTATATTAGCCAGGCTCGTCTCAGAATCCTGGGCTCCAGAGACTCGGTGCTGGGATTACGGGCATGAGCCACCATGCCTGGCCTGTTTAAATAGCAAGGTGGTGGGGCTGATGCAACTGGGAGGGACTGGGAGGTCCCAAGGCTGAGGGGTGAGGGGAGGACTCTGGCTTCCGCTCTGAGGGATGGATGTGATCACCCTTTCACTTCAAAAGGCCCCCTTTTGTCCCTGTGTTGAGAACACGGTGGTGGATAGAATTGGGGAACCCAGTCGAGAGGGGGTCCTGGGGACTCAATATCCTTTCCCTTACAGTCATGAAGCCCACCAGGAACTGGGCTCCAGGAAGGGAGGCAACTCCCTTCTTCCATGCTGGTGGCCTTGCAGAGCCTCTGGACTCCAGCTCTGCCTCTTACTGGGATTCCTCTGCATTGGCTCTGCGTGCCTCCATTTCCCCAGCCGTAGAATAGGGACTAAACCCGCATCATGGGGAAAAGGCTCCATGTAATACACGTTTCTCCTCCTGCCACCTTGTGGTCAGAATTTAGGCTGAGGAAGGGAAAAGCCCCCAGGCCGGGGCCTTGGCTTGGTTGAAGAATCACCTGCCTGGTAATTGGTCTACTTGGTGAGTGTGATGTGGTGGGGGTGCCAAAAAATGGATTCAACTTGCAGTGAGGTGTTGAAGCTGGTTCCTGCCAGCTCCAAGGCCTCTGGGCTCCCTAGAAGGTAAGTGAGTCCACCTGCCCCTCCACCTCACAGGCCCATCAACAGCAGAGTGAGCAATGTTCCTTGTCCCACTCCACCCCCATGTGAACCGAGATCTCCCTGATCATTCAGATCTCACAGGCTTGACCCTACTCTACATATTGAGAAAGTTCCAGTCCTCCCCTCAACTGTAGACGTCTGCTAGACCTGTTGGTCGGGCACAGTGACTCATGCCTGTAATCCCAGCACTTTGGGCAGATCACTTGAGGTCGGGAGTTCGAGACCAGCCTGGCCAACATGGTGAAACCCTGACTCTACTAAAAATCCAAAAATTAGCTGGGCATAGCAGCGAGTGCCTGTAGTTGCAGCTACTCTGGAGGCTGAGACAGGAGACTCACTTAAACCCAGGAGACAGAGGTCACAGTGTCAAGATAGCAGCATTATACTCGAGCTTGGGAAACAGAATGAGATTCTGTCTGAAAAAACAAAGCAATTTCCTACACCTTCCAGTTCCTGTCCTCAGCATCCCCACACACAGGCCCCATGCTGCTCAAGACCCAGATAAGGCATGACATCAGATGTGTCCAAAATAGGTCAGCTTGTTTCTGTCCCGGCCTCAGCCCCCACCTCTGCTGTCATGCCAGCCTCTGTGCTCCTCCACCTCATTATGGGATTTCCTAGAACAAGGACAGCCCCCGCCCCCCCAGAGGCACCCCAATGCTCTCCATGGCAGAGCTCTTCCTGCGGACCTGTGAGCTACTGCTCTGCAGCCAAAGGAAGCAAGGCTTGGCCAGGCATAGTGACTTGTCCTGTGCGTTTCCT